CAGGCCTTGAAGGGTGAACAGGATTTCCTGACAAATGAAACCAAGAGGGCCAATCAGGAAGTGACTGCAAAAGCCAAGTGAGAAGAGGAGAGGTCCCGGAACGGAGGAGAACGGATCTGAGAGCAGCTCAACTTAGTGACTGATTAGCTACAGGGACGGAGAACGGGGAGGCGTTTCCGAGGTGGCAGCCTGCGCCTGTTAACTGAAGGAAGAGACAGCCCAACTGCATCCAGGAAGAGCTGTACTCCAGGCACTCCCACGTGACCCTACCACCAGCTGGCAGGGTGACCCTAGACCTGTCACTTCCCCTCTCAGACCCCAATTTCCTCGTGTGCAAAAAACAAGGAAGTTCCATTAGATGTTTTTCCAAGGCTCCTTCCAGCTGTAACAGTCACTGGACATTAAAGAACCACTGAGGCAGACCAGCCTTGGGCAGCTGATTTGGTGCCCGGCCACAGCCTCCCCTCCGTGCCAGGTCCTCTCCATAATCTGCTTGGCTGGGCTGAGGTAAAATTCCCCAAGGCCAAGGGCAGTAGCCAGCCTAAGAACTCCCAAAGGCCAGTCAAGTCTCCTACGGCCGCCGTGGTAACCGCCGCCGAAGAGGAAGGACACGCTTTCTTACTCACACCCTGCTGGCCTCCGGCCCGTCACCCCCAGATCACCGGGCTAACCAAGACAGCGAGGTGCTCACGAGCGCCCCAAATGCGCCCCCTGGAGCCACTGATCTTAGCAACAGGGAATGGGTCTCTCATGGCCCAGAAGGAACAGGGTGAGAGAAGAGGCGCGGGGAGGCCCTGCCCTGCCCTAAAACGAAACGACAGCAAGTGGAAAGGCAAGCGGAAGGGCAGCCGGGCCGCCAGGCGGCAGGAGGGCAACACCAAGCCCCATCTGGCCCGAGGGGAGCGCACGGGCCCTGCAGCTACCAGAACCCCCGGACAGACAGCGGACAAGTTCCTGCCGCCTTCAGATAATGTACAACGCTCGGTGCGAAGCGGGGAGTCGGCTCTGCTGGTGGCTCTCCTGAGAAATTGCTTAAGGAGTCAATACGGGCAGCTTCCAAACTGCTAACGGTGTGAACGGAGGGCCGCGGCCCTTCGGGAAGTAAACCACCATCTACTACACGAGACGGGCTCGCAGATGGGGAATGAATTCATGCCAAAGTGGCCGGTCCATTTTCATAAACTAATGAATATGCAGAAGCCCCTGGAAGCAGTGGACTTTAGAGCTGATGGTAATTAGGCCCCTGCCCTACTTTCTAAAATTGGATCTCCCTGTTAAGGAGCCTGCTCTGGGCCTTGTGAGAATAAGACAGTGCACGGAGTTTAGAAGGTTCTGCTGAGGGCGACGGCCTCTCTGAAAACAGCCCTGCCCCTCAGCCTCACCTTACCAGGCTAACTGCAGCCACCGCAGCTGTCTACGCCGGCAGGGAGCACCGCCAACCAGCCCAGCCTCGCTGGAGGCAACAGGTGCCGAGGACCGGAATGCAAAGGGTCACCAGCAACCCACCAGCCTTTCAGAGTCAACTCGGTAGGGGCGCCCAGCTTGCAGGGTGCGGAGAAAACTGCACTCTCTGCCTCCGGGGAGGGGGAGGAGAGCACCCAGCCCTCACCGCTCTGACCACTCTCTCCCTTGGGCGCCAGCTCCCAACCCCATAGCACCCTCACAGGTGGGAGGCGGGGCCCAGACTCAAGGAGCTGGTATTGCCAGAGCCCCAGGAAAGGATGGAGCTGGAGCAAACGGAGTCTGCTAGATGTGATGCCTGGGAAAAGAGCTGGAAAACAGCTCCCGGCCACCACCAACCCGAACGCATCCCCCTGCCGCAGAGGGGGACTTCCTGAGAGACCACTGACAGGTGTGTGGGTGTGCAGGGCGCAGCCAGCCTGTGCTCCCCCCCCCCCCCCCCCCCCCCCCCCCCCCCCCCCCCCCCCCCCCCCCCCCCCCCCCCCGCACTTAGGCTCTCTCCAGCTCTCCTCCAGAACGCAGTGCACAGCAGGCCCACTAGCCTCAGGGAGAACGCCTAGCCCCTCCTTCTGAGCAAGGCGAGGCGACGTGAGCCAACCGCCCTTCAACAGGCAGCAGCTCGGTGTGCAAACCGGGCCAAGGGGCCGCCACGGGCAAGAGGCTGCAGGAGGCTGCGCCAAGCGTGGGACCTGGCAAGGACGCCGGGCAAGGGGCGCACGCCGCAGCTTTCTGTGTGACCCAAGGAATCTCGTTCCTCCCACTTACCAGCGCCCTGCGATTGGGGAAGGTACAAACGTGGGCACGGTAACCTCGGCCTCACAGAAAGAGGCGAGGGCCCACCCACCCCACTATGGGACCACTGGAATTCACCTCCTACACTGGAGGGCCCCAGACCAAGTAAAGAAACAATTTAGAGAAAACACCGCAAATGGCAAAAAGGGGGAGGCAGCAACGCCGCCCTATCTGTGGGTGCCCAAGGCTGGTGCGCAAACCCTGGGACGGTTACCCAGCAGGGCACACAACCTCCCAGGTCGAGATTAGGGGGCTCAACTCTGCCCCTAATCCGTAATCTAGAAACTGTCATTTCTCCCGAAAAAGCATCAAAGATGAAGAGCTGAGCAGGCGCAGGAGGAGGGAGGAAGGGGGTGGGACTCTGCCTGCGCCAAAGGGACGCATCCGCCAGCCCGCCCGCCCGCCCGGCGGGGTAACGGTGTCTGTCTCGAGTCAACGCCGGCGACGCCCCCGCCCCCTCACCAACCGGACTGGATTCTCTCGGATAATGAAAAGCACCCATCAAACACAGGAGGGGGCGGGCAGAGGAAGAACCAGGAGAGAGCAGGAAAAAGCACAGAAGCGGGGCTGACCGAAGGGTCTCGGAACAGAGAGAGATCAGTGCGGGGAGAGAGAGAGGAACGGGAGGAGGGTGAAGAGGCAGGAGGGAAGGGGAAGAGAAAGGAGGGGACGGAGGGGGAGAGGAGGAGGGATAAAGGGAGAGGAGGAGGAGGAGGGGAGGGATGGAAGAGGGAGAGGGAGGAGATGGAGGGAGGGAGGGAGGGAGGGAGGGAGAGAAAGATCCCAGGACCCAGCGGGCTTTGCACTCACCCGTGTTGTACACGTGCAGTTCGTCCACTATCCCCTCGTTGCCGCCGCCAAACACCACGATGAGTTCCTTGATGGCCACGGCTCGGTGGCCGTGGCGGGGCCGGGGTACCGGACCCGACCAGCCCACCACTCGCTTCCAGCGGGGCTGCAGGAGCACCGCTGGAGAGTTGGCGGGCGACACGGCCGAAGCCATAGTTACGGGAAAGGCCGCGGTGGGTAGAAGTCACCAAGCGGGAAGGGAGCCCCCCAATTCCTCTCACACACACCCCCTTTCGTCTAAGGTAGCTCTCACAGAGAAGCGGTTCCTCACACAGCGGTGGACGGCTCCATGGAGGCCGCCATCTTAACTACCCTCCTTTCCTTCGGCTCTTCCCCTTCTTCTAGCTCACCCCGTCTCTTCAAGAGCCTCCCGAAACTTTCGAGCGCCTAGCCCCGAGAAGCTGGAGGCCGCCGAGTCCCGCCGCCCTGACTACTCGCCCGGGCGCTCCCGCTTACAAGCTCGGGCGGGAGGCCCTGGGAGCCGCCATCTTGAGCCGCCTCTCTCTCCTCCCTTCCTCAGTCGTAGCCCTCCCCCGCCGGAAATGGCGGAGCCCCGGCCCGGTTCCCACACCCCCCAAGTCCCCTGTACTGGCCGGCTTCCGGGGCGGGTGGAAAGGAGCCACAAGCGCCGCGGTTGTCCCAGCCCCGCCGGCGCTCACACCACAATTGTGGGAGCCGCCATCTTGAGACCGTCCCGCTTCCCCGCCCAGCGCTTAGTGCAGCCGCTGCTCCCGAAACAGCCTCGACACTCGTAAAGGACAGAGGCACGCCGGAGGCCAGTGGAACGAACTCGAAGTCTCGGGGGCTGGTCCGAGACTCGCGCCGTACAGCTCGTGAAGTCTCGAACCTCTCCCCTGAGTCCGCCTCTGCTGCTCAGGCTGCGCCTGCCGCCCTGGGAGCCGCCATCTTGAGACTAACTCCCCCTTCCCCCCTATTCTCTTCCTCCTGAGTCAGTTCTTCCACTGCAAACCAAACGCAAGGCAGCGTCCGATCCTCGCTTCCCTCTTTATGGCTCCTTCCCACAGGAGCCGCCCCAAAGAGCCAGAGTTAGGCCCCGGAGTGGCAACTGTACGGCAGGAGGAGCGGTAACGGCAGGGCGCTCATGCCTCCTCCCTGGGAGCCGCCATCTTGTGTGAAGAAGTAACAACTAAACATGGCGGCAGCGGCGGTCGGGCGAGGGGGCGGAGTCAGGCGACGTCACTGTTCGCCCCCCCCCCCCGCCCTCGCACGGCTTCTCGGAGCCAAGCCCTCTTAAAGGACCCCCGCGCTGCCCCGCGGCGAAGGCCCAGGTCCACCGCGCGCTTAGCTAGGGCTCAGGCCGCTCTCGGGTCAGGCGCAGGCGCGCCCAGCCCCGCGGCCCACCCCTTCCCCCCCCATTGCGCCCTCACGCCTCCGCCCTGGGAGCCGCCATCTTGCCACTTCCCTTCGCCCGGCCGTCCACGGGCGTCAAGAGCGACTTTCAGCACAAAACAAAGATGGCGGTTGAGACATCTGGTGAATGCCCGGATGAGGATGCCTCAAGCGAGCTCAGCCCCGCCCCCCTTGGGAACATTCCCCCGGGTCGCTTAGGGAACACACGCCCGAGGAGTTGCCTTTATCCAGCAGTGGGGACAGGGCATAGGCTGCTGGGAAAAGCTGACGAGAGACATTAGAGCTGCAGCCCGGGCCAGAAAGTGGACATGTCTCCGCTCCCCACACCCAGCGGCCGTGGGAGAAGCGGCCCAAGACGCGCCGCGGGTGGGGGGGGGGTCGGAGGCGGGGCGAGGGGGCGGTGACGCAGCCGGCTCCCAGGCTCGCCGGCCCCGCCCCCGAGCGCCGCCCGCGCTCTAAGGAAAGGAGACCGGCCGCGCGCCCGAGGCCGCTCCCCGTCCCCCGCCCCGCCGGCTGCAGGGCGGGCAGCCAAGCCGGCGGTACCCGAACCGAGCGGGCGGGCACGGGAGAGCTCCGTGTCGCCTCGCGTCACCTCGCGTCACCCCGCGTCACCCCGCTCCGCCTGCTTCCCAGAGCCCGGCGCCCCGCCCCGCGCGCAGGCGCAGGGCCGCTTTTCGGGTCCGCCCTTTCCCGAGATTTGAATTTTCCCCAGCAAAGATAGAGAGGCAAATACCCGGATGGTGATCGCTGGCCTTTTCGCGCCAATACTGTAAGTTCTCGCAGCAATCTTAAGGGGTGGGTACTGGCATCGCCCCCATGTGCCAAATCTTGCAGGAGGCCGACCCGTCGCCATACGGTCCTGTGCACTGCCAGACCCAGGCCGTAGTGCAGGGGCCCTGCGCTGGTGTCTGAGAGCTTGAGGCTACAACAGAGGATTTTTCCACTTTCTCTCCGCGTTATTTCGTCTTTATTTTCACCAACCCCTAGTTGAAATTTGGCGTTTCCCGCAATTGCGCATGTAGGCTACAGAGCACACACAGAGTGTTAGCCTGGTGTCTTGGTCGCCAATGGAAGTGACATTTCAGATCACTTAGCTTTTGTTGTAGTTATCTTGAAATTAACTCAAGTACAAGACCTGCCCGTACGTCCTGTCATTTAGCTTCCTAGTAAAGAAGCACATATATTACCATATCACACATTTTCAAAAATATTTTCATACCACCTTTCAACTTGCTAAATTTGTGTTGTCATTCTGTTTCTATGTATTTGGAAGTATTTGAGAAAGGCCACAGAGACCTGTGGCAGCCCGAGGACAAGAGTCCTCCCCTACATATGGGTGTGCCGCTAACTGCCCTAAATGACCTTGGGCATTCACCTCCCCTCTATGGCCCTGAGTCCGTCCCTGTAAAATAAGGAAGGCGAGCTGCCGGCTTCCGAGGGCCTTCTCTGAGGTCAGCAGTTCTCTCCCTGGAGTTCAGGAATCACTGGGGTCGCTCCAGCCTTCTTGGGTATCCAGGTGTCCCAGAGTGACCTCACCCGCCAGGGATGTCCCATGTTACAGCCCTCAAGCTGGCACCCCCTCATCGGCAGCAGGGCAGCAAGGGTGGTCGGGATAGTCAGGGACACAACAAGCAGTTGTCATAAGTGCTACAGGAAAGAAGGCAGCACTGTGAGAGGTGACAGGAGAGTCTAAGGAACATGTGTTAGCCCCTTAGCCAGGATATTGTCATGCTTTGCAGAACTTTTCCAAAAGACTCCAGAACGCGGGCCAATGCCTTTGACCTTCGTGTGCCAGGTGCTGGGGGAATCCGTGAAGAATTTTGAGTGCCCTGTATCAAGGGTCATGGCAGTTCAAGTGTACGGAGGAGCTAGGCCATAAACTACCCAGCCTGGTCTCCTTGGTGGACTCGGGAAATTGGTTGGACGACATGTCACTTTCAGCTTGCACAAGGGCTCAGGTGGACTCTGCCCAGGAGCCAGAGAGAGGAGTCACTGTCCCCACCCTTCCTGGACCTCCTTCTCTATCAGGCTGGCCATGTGTGGCTCCCGTGCCCTGGTCTCACCCATGCTTGCTGGCAGACAGGAGGGTCAGGCTAGCGCAGGTCCCAAAGGCCTGGCACTTCGTGCCGCAGAGCCAGGCCCCAGACGGGTGCAGGCGAGGTGTCCCAGCTGGAGTCAAGCAGCCGGGCGGGGAGGCCGCTGCAGGAGAATGGCAGCCAAGTGGAAAGTGTCAGCAGACCTGAGGCAGGAGGGAGTGAGGCCTGCAGAGTCTCATTCCAGGCAGGACAGACTGGGCCTGCGGAACTCTCCAGACTCCAGGGGGACGGCACTTGGACCTACAGCCGAGAGACTGGGATGAGAGTGCACATGGAGTGGAGAGCCAGCCCCCGACGGCTTTAAGCCAGACTGGCACAGTCCACTCTAGGGGTGCTTGGGGAACACGCTGGGGGCAGTTGTACGCGGACCACGTTAGCAGTGGCCAGCATGGAAATGGGACCCCGGGGGCAGACGTGGCCTCCTGGACTGGGAAGCACTTAGACAAAGAGTTGGGACAGGTGTGGGACAGGGCCACAAGCCGAGATGGCAGCTCACGGTCAATGAGCAGTTGCAGAGTCAGGATGAGGGCTTTAGTTCACTGGGGGAAGTGCTGGCCCCGTGGTCCTCCTTAATGATGGGCCCCCAAGGCAGGACGGGAGCAGGAAAGCCCAGCAGCAGCGTCCCTAGAAAATACAGGTGGCTGCCCAGGGCCGCGTGAAAAGCGAAATGGTAATGTGCCAATGGGCAAAAGCGTAAGGAAGGACAGGGAGGTGCTGGCTCTGTGCTTGAATTGCATCGAGCTGAAATTGAGCAGGTATTGACAGAGCTTGGGAGGGAGAGCGGAGAATCAGACCCTGCTCTGCCCTTTCAGGGCCTAAATTGCAGGAGGGGAGGTGGACGCTGTGCCTCGAAGATAAACGGGGCTGAGTGGTCTCCACCCGTAAGAACTTATTTAATCCACACGAGGACTGTGCGGGGAGGTACTGGCAGCACCACCATTCTGCACGTATGCAAACTGAGGCCCAGACCAGTGAAGGCCCAAGGTCACAGAGTTAGCAGGTTGGGGGAGCCAGGGTTTGAACACAGTCTCTCTCTTCCCCACCTGCCTGCCGTTTTGGCTTTGAGTCATTTTCAGAGCGCTGAACCTTTTCTCTGTTTCGTGGTAATACGCTTCCAGGCCACTGGGCCAGCTCCCAGTGCAGCTGGCCCCAAAGCAGTTGACAGTCATGATAACTGCATGTTCATTTTACACTCTCTGCTTCTCTGACTGCAGGAAATGGAAGGTTTATCGTGGGCCGAGGGAAGAAAGGGATTCGGGATGATGTGGCGCTTGGGGGCAGGGCAGGAGAGCCAGCAGATGCTCCAGATGCTCATCCCGCCCCTGTCGTCCTCTCCCCCCTCCTTCCCCGCCTTCTCCTGCCCCCTGCCCCTCCTCCCTCCCTTAACCCCCTCCTGTTGTCCTGCCCCCTCCCCTCCTCCTCCCCCTCCTCCAGCACCGCCCCACCCCTTGCTTGGTTCCAGAACTTGGACCACAGTGAACGGTGTCAAACTGGGTATTTGGTTAAAAGGGCCTGGGGCTGGCTGGAAACTTCACTTATGATACCACTGAGGCAGGGAAGTCCTTTCTGAATGGTAGCAACAGTGCCAGGAAAGGTTGAAGTCTCTAAATGCAGCGGCTCTAAGGGAAGTATGGCAGTGAGCTGGGTTTCACGGTACACAGATGAAAGACGAAGCACGTGGGCGTCAGGAGAGAAAGGCATGAAACCTCCAGGGGAGAGATGATTCTAGGTGATCTAGATGATTCTACAAGCCATGAGTAAGAAGGTGCACATACTGTGGGTATCGCTTCCCTTTTATTTCTGGTTTTTTCTTCTTGGTGGGTCCTGAAGCTGAGAGTTGGGAGAATGGAGACTCTATTTTGGATGGTCTTCTTTCCTTCTTTTATTTTTTTATCTTTTTAAAAGTTTATTTTTTGAGAGAAAGAGAATGCGAGTGAGCAGAGGAGGGGCAGAGAGAGAGAGTGGGAGTCTGCAGCCATACCACCGTGACGCGCCCGATCTCATCTGATCTCAGAAGCTAAGCAGGGTCGGGCCTAGTTAGTACTTGGATGGGAGAGAGAGAGAGGGAGAGACAGAGAATCCTAACAGGCTCCACCCCGTCAGCACAGAGCCTGACGCAGGACTCGAACTCAGGAACAGTGAGATCATGACCTGAGCCGAAGTCAGTTACTTAACGGACTGAGCCACCCAGGCGCCTCCTGGGTGGTTTTCTTTCTAACCACCCTCTTTTTGTAACCACAGAGGAAGCAGGCAGAGCGCCCTTCCCCTTCTGGCCCGTCAGCAGGACCGCCGCCGGCCCGGCTGGGAGGCCAAGGAGCGCTGCTTGGCGGAAGCTGTGTGTGTGAATTCTGAACCAACAGCGAGTCGTGCCCGCGGTTCTGCATGCAGCCCGAGTCCACGCAGGCGCTGTGCCACGTGGCTGTGGCCAGCTGCCTCTGCATGGCCGTCGTCTGCGCAGGGGTGTTCGACGGCGTCTCCGTTCAAGTGGGCTACGAACACTACGCTGAAGCCCCGGTAGCCAGCCTCCCCGTCTTTCTTGCCATGCCCTTCAACTCGCTCATTAACGTGGCCTACGTGCTCCTGGGCACGTACTGGCTGCGGAGACGGGCCAGCGGCCCGGGGCACCCCGAGGCCCTGCGCAGGGCGCGCTACCTCAAGGATGTGTTTGCCGCCATGGCCCTGGTCTACGGCCCGGTGCAGTGGCTGCGGATCGCCACGCAGGTGCACCCCGCCGCCGTGCTCGACCAGTGGCTCACCTTGCCCATCTTTGCGTGGCCCATAGCCTGGTGCCTGTCGCTGGACAGGGGTTGGCGGCCCTGCCTGTTCCTGGCCATCGAGTGCCTCTCCCTCGGCAGTTATGGCCTGGCCCGGCTGCACCCCCGCGGCTTCGAGGCGGCGCTGGGCGTGCACATCGCGGCCGTCGTGGGCCAGGCTCTGCACGCCCACAGGCGCCACGGTGGCCCCTCGTCCGGAAGGTACCTGGCGCTGGGCGTGCTTTCCTGCTCGGGCTTCGTGGTCCTCAAGCTGTGTGACCACCAGCTGGCACAGTGGCGTCTCTTCCAGAGGCTCACGGGCCACTTCTGGTCCAAAGTGTGTGATGTGCTCCAGTTCCACTGTGCCTTCTTGTTTCTGACCGACTTGAGCACCCGGCAAACACCTCCTCGTGCCAGGAAGACGCATTAAAGCGCAGAAAAGACGCCGCTTCCGACGGCTGGTGGCCGTGGCGTCGCCAGTGTGAAATCTGCCACGTGTGATAAGATATGAGTGTCACGCAGCGGGCCGTCCTTCCTTTGCAGCTTCGGGCTTCACTATTTAGGGGTGAAATGTCACGCTGTCTGCAACTTAGTCTCAAAGCGATAAAGCAAACATCTAAGTGCAGGGGATGCAGGGATTCACTGTCCTGTTCTTGTAACTTTGCTGTATTTTCTTTTTTTTTTAAATGTTTTATTTATTTCTAGGAGAGAGAGAGAGAGAGAGAGAGAGACAGCTTGAGCAGGGGAGGGTCAGAGAGAGAGAGGGAGTCACAGACTGAAACGGGCTCCAGGCTCCGAGCTGGCAGTCAGCACAGAGCCCGGCGCGGGGCTCGAACCCACGAACCGCGAGATCATGACCTGAGCGAAAGTCGGACGCTTAACCGACTGAGCCACCCAGGCGCCCCAACTTTGCTGTATTTTCAAATTCTTTAAAATAAAACAGTGGGGGAAACGAGCGTGAGAGGTGCGGCACGCTCACCGCAGCAGGGAAATGCTTGTCCACGGTAGCTTCCCGACTCGGGTGCTGTCCGCGGGCTGCGGACGGGGAGACTGAGTCACGTCGAATACATGCCGGGCTGTGACATCAGCGATGGCTGTGCTGACAGCAGGTCACATGGAAGGAGCCACGTCACCTCAGACCCTTCGCGGGACAAGGCGGGCCGCGTCCAGATGAAGAAACACAGATGTCAAAAGTTGAATTCTCAGCGCAGCGTTGCCCTCAGAGCCAGGGTGTGGCTCCCATGTCCTCCGCAGCACGGGTCACTGAAGGGTCACGGGGTCTATTTCCCGGGAGAGACCCAGGGCGTGGCATGAGTCGCCCTGGGCCCTCAGGAGCCAGAGTCTCCTGATGACATGTCAGGCAGGGCCCTGGCATGGGCGTCTTGAAAGCCCCCACCATGCTTCTCACGCAGTTGACAGTATCTGAAGCAGTGAGCCCAGGGCTGCCACTCGGGGTTAATGTCCTCTTTGGCCCCTTGAAGACCGTGCCGTCCGACAGGCGTCCGGTCTTTAAAAACAAAGGTGAAGGGAGACTTCAAGAGGCCACTGTGTTCCTTCCAAATGGCATCGCAGGACGGGCTGCTCACATGCACCCACAAGTGTCCCCCCGCCTCCCCGGAGCCTGTGGGTTGACAGGTGGATGACTAGTTTGGAAACTGGGTCCCTGTGCTGTGCTGGATGCTCTGTCCCACCCGAGCACCCCTCGGGCCACCATCTGAGAACGCTGCGCGTGAGGGCCGTCGCTTGGCGGCGGCCAGCCGAGCCCCGCCCTCCTGCCTGGGCAGCCGGTGCGGCCTGGCCCCGGGGTCTGGGGCCTGGGGGGGTGGGGGTCGTGCCGGTGGGTGAGGAAGAGGCTGGCATTTGCCGGGGGAAACAGCTCTGTTCCGTGACGGTGTCTTAAAGGCTCTGTGTGCCTAAGACGAACGGGGCTCTCTGGGTGTCTCCGGGGCGGCCGCCCTTCCCTCAGAGAGGCGGGTGGGAGGGAGCAGGGGAAGACCTCCGTCCTGGGGGGCTCGCTGAGACATGGGGGGGGTGGAGGGAGAGGGGACCAGGGTGTTATGCGGGGGCGGGGGGCGTGTTCCTCCACCTAGAATCTGAGTTATTTCCGCCCTCTTAGTGTTGCCCTTTCAGCTGCTGTTACCGTCACCGACGGGGGGGGGGGGAGAAAAGTGTAGGGGGTTTGCACAGCCGCGTTCATCCCACACCTCTGAGCAGTAACTTTTCATTTTGTTTCATTTCATTTTTACCAATACTTATTTAATAAGTAAGCCTGAGAACCTTCTGGTTTCCATTCCACTCCTGTCAGGCTGGGTCCCCACAGGAAGCAGGTGGCTGGCTCAGATTCGGGTGATTCAGGACGGTTTCACGGAGAACTATGCTATGCACGCCACCCACGCGGGGCCCTGGGGGGCTGCATGCAAAGGGACAAGGGAGGGCGTGGGGACCTCCAGAAACCCGAGCCCCTCTCTCCTGCTGGTCTCTGTCCAAGGTTATCTGATGACATGCGGCGGCACGAACGGTGTTTCGGTCCCAGCCTGCCCCAAATACGACACGCTTGTACGAAGAAAATCGTTTCATTATCCTAAGTTCACATTTAACTAGGTATCTTGTCTTTTTATTTGCTAAATCAGCTGAGCCAAGCAAAGCCAGAGGGCAGGAGCCGGCTGCTCCTCAGCCCGCCGCCTGGGTTCGGGGGCAGGGGGGCGACTGGAGGCAGGAGGCAGGTGGCTGCGGCCCCGCCCGCTCAGCTCTGCTGCCCTTCCCTCTTCTCCTTGGCCCTGCTGTCAGTGTCGTCTCCGTCTTCCCGCTGCAGGGCCGAGAGGCCCGTGGTCACCAGAGGGGCCCCCTCCCTGGTTTGGGCCTAAATGGTGTAGAGGTCCCGAAGCTGGGAGGGGTCTGGGAAACCATCTGCCCCAGCCCCCTCGTTTCATGGACACTGAAAGTCTAGAAGTCCAGCCTGGCTGACAGTTGCGTCAGAAATGCAGGCATCCCACCACCGCGTCCAAAGCCCCACCCACGGCGCTGCTCTACCTGTCCGTAGAAAGGGCGACGGTGCTGTCTCAGCCTGGTCTCCTCCACGCTTTCCCATACCACGGCCTGGGGGTTACAACCCCCCCCCCCCGGTGAAAAGAGTACTACTGGCTTTGCTGCCTGTGGATGGGATACGGGCGCGTCGAGGTGGGGGTGGGGGACGGACAACGAGCCAGCCGAGAGGACTGTCGGGATTCTGGCGGCCGTGCCGCGGGACACGCAGGCCTGTGCACGTGCGTGACCGGTGCAGACACTGCCTGAGGGCCCCTTGTGCTTTGGTGACGTCGTGCCCGTGGCTGTGGCCGCTCATGGGCTCCTTCACCCGGTCCTCACCTAGTGTGCCGGTTCCTTGCCAGCTTTCATTCCCCACAAGAGCCCTCCACCTCCGCGCCCTGGAACGAGCCGCCTTTATCCGAGTCCGTCTCAGGAGTGTGATTGAAGGGCTGCCTTTCCACCTGACGCTCATGATTCACGTGTCTACCAGCGACGACAAGGAACCCACCCCCGGCCGCCCCGTACCAGAAAGGTGTGAGCACACTTTGTCACTTTGTGCCAGTCTGATGGTGGCAAAGCGAGATCTCATCGTGACTTTAACTCCTGCCACCCCCTCCATACACTGGCACGCATGCGTACACGCACATGTGCAAGTAGTGCTCATGGGCTCGTCTGTTGCAAGTTTGGATTTGTCAGTTGCTTGTTGCTATCCTTCCCTTGTTCCGCACTGTCTCCTCTTAATCTGTAGGAGCTCTTTTTTATATTATAGACCGTAACCATTCATTTGTCATACAGACGGTAAATAGGTTTTCTTAATCTACCATTTGTCTTTTGACTTCGAAGATCTTTTAAAGTAACATGGTTGATTTACGGAGTCCTGTATGTCTATATGTGTGTCTTTTTCTACGTGGTTTTTGGGTATCCGCTCTTGCTGAAAACCTTTTTCCAGGTGCCTAGATTATACTTGTCAAATCTTAACATCTCCCATAGCTGCTTCAGATCTTTTTCAAAGATAGAAATTTCAAATTATAAAATTTTAATTATTCAAACTTATTCAAAGATTATTCAAAAGAGGGGTACCTGGCTGTCTCAGTTGGTGGAGTCTGCGACTCTTTATCTAGGGATCGGGACTTTGAGCCCCACGTTGGGTGTAAAGATTAAAAAATTATTAAAAATAGTAAGTATAAAAACAGTTAAAACCTGCATTCAGAAATAAAACTGAGCAGCTGACATTGCCAACATGACAGTTTACCAAAACACAGCATTTCCCCTCTCACCTCGGAAGGTCTCTGGAAGTTGAAACTTTTTACAAATGATTTTAGTTCACATACAAGTACTGCAATATTGTTTCCAGGCGTAGAACCCAGTGGTTATCACTTACATCAACACCCAGTTGCACCCTAACAAGTCCCCTCCTTAGTGCCCGTCCCCCGTCTAGCCCATCCCCCCACCCACATCCTTCCATCAACCCTGAGTTTGTTCTTTATTGTTAAGAGTCTCCTGGGGCGCCTGGGGGGCTCAGTCGGTGGAGCATCTGACTTCGGCTCAGGTCATGATCTCGGTTCGTGGGTTCGAGCCCCGCGTCGGGCTCTGTGCTGACTGCCAGCTCAGAGCCTGGAGCCTGTTTCACGTTCTGTGTCTCCCTCTCTCTCTGCCCCTTCCCTGCTCGCGCGGTCTCTCTCTCAGAAATAAATAAAAAACATTAAAAAAAAAAAAAAAGAGTCTCTTATGGTTTGTTTCCATCTCTCCTCTTTTGAAGTCTTTGGAGGAGTATAAACTGGGTTATATGTCCTCCACTGAGCCCCCAAATACCCATGTGATTAGGGAGCATCTCTTCCCCTTCTGAGTGGAGGCTTGTATCCCGGGTCCTTCCTGTGGGCCCGGTGCCCATCGTTAAGGCGAGCACCGCAGGCATCAGGCCTGCGGGCTCGCTGATTTGGGGCCGGTCCCCGTGGGTCTGATGAGCCGCTCAAGCCTGCTTGCTCTTTGTAGCCTGGTGCTTCCAACCGTGGTCGGGTTTTTCAGTCTTTTTTTCCATTTCCTGTCCTTCCGCTTTGATCTTTGCTCTCTTGTGTGTCTTCAGAAGCGCTGACTTCTGGTTTTACTTCTGCCTCTTCTTTCTCGGCCCTGCCTCACTTCCACGGGGGCCTCTGCCAGGCAGTATGCGTGGCCGCCATCTCGCCGGCTCAGATCTCTTCCTTTGAAGGATGGGAAGCCCGAGAGATTAAATCGGAGCGCCATCCCTGCCTTGCTGCCCGGAGGAGCGCACTGCGCAGGCGTGGGCACACCCTGTGCCGCTCACGCTGTCATACCTGGCCTGCGGCTGAGCGCACACCCTGGCAGCATGAGCCTTGGAACTTTCTGTAAATGCACCAATGGTCCAGACCCTTCTCCCAAACGGCTCGCAGAAGAGGTTACTGAAATGACTGCCAACCCAGGTTCTCAGTGCTCCACGACCTCACCAGCACCGGGTACCATTGGAGGATTTCCCAGCTGCTGATCTAACGTGGCCTTGAAAGGGAAGGAAATGGGGCACCTGGGTGGCTCAGTCAGTTGAGTGTCCGATCTCGGCTCAGGTCATAATCTCATGGCTCATGAGTTCAAGCCCTGAGTCAGGCTCTGTGCTGACAGCTCAGAGCC